ATTTACAAAATATTGATCCAGATTTTTCCTTTTTGTGTGTGTAAGGAAATTTGGAAAGGGTTGGCTGGTGTTTTTTTTACTTTGTTTTATTGTCACTGATTTCACGACATCCTATACACATACTATGACCCTTGTTCTTTAGTTACTATTGCTGTGGTCATTGTTCTACCAAACGATCGTCTTGTACCAAATATTAAAGCTCCAGATGAAATATGATATTGAATTACTTAACCATTTCTAAATTGCCAAAGGCTCAAGTAATAATAAAATGCATATATTATGTATATTATTGAAGGAAAAAGAACTGCTTCAATTGAAGAATGGTGAAATAACGGAGACTGGAGCAGTCATAAACCCGTTCTTCTGTAACAGCCAAAGACGACAGTTGTAGTTCTAGAGGAATTGGAGAGTTATGTCGACAATGAAAAACCAAGGAAAGAGTCTGAATAATTTGACATATTTGAATAGAAATTAAAAATGAGCGGATGTCGCTGGATTGGACAAGTGCTTAGCATAAAGAATAATTAATATAGAGAACAATAACAGAAAAACGCTCCTGAGCTATAGACTCCATGGGGAAATGGTCGTAAGGGACTACCAATACAAGACTGCAACGCTAAAGGGGAATTGAAGGAGAATGGGGAAAATGTTTCGTATGTTATTTTTGTCCTCACACAAAGATGACAGAAGCACTTAAGACATATTCGGGGAAACAAATTGGAGACAGCATTTAATAGGCCAGCAGCTCTTGTAGTAGTGATTGGTGTGGTCTAGATCACTGCCAACAAGTCACCGAGGCAGATTGTCAGTCAGCAATAACGCCTAATTTATTAGTAGCAAAATTGAAAAGCACCACTGCTTGTTAATTTACCTTGCCACAATCAACCAAATTATAGAGAATACAAAAATGTCCCCAGACGCCGCCCTCGGTCTGTGGAACGCTGGCACGTTAAAGCCTGCTGATGACATATTAGGTTTCTTTTTAAATCTCTGGGGATTTGGTTCCCCCTGTCTCCCAATACAACGATGTACTTCACGTTTGATACGTCAAGTTTTGAGAAATAATGGCAAATAATTTAAATGCCCTTGATTAATGATTGATTCAGAGTCCCCATGTTTTACATGTACCTTAGCTTGCTTTTTTCTGCTTTAACAAACTATTTGTTAATTATATTTTTGACATTTAGTCATATTAATATCATATTTCATATTTCAATGCCTATTCTTAGACCCCTATTTCAGCAAAGAATACGGAAGGATGTGAACATATTTCATATTAACTGTTACTGGTAATCAACAAACTCTCTAAAATAAAATTACTGTCTCTCCTTTCACTATCCATCTTATATTTTAATTACTGCTAACATATTTTAAGGTTCCTTTTCCTTTAAAAAAAAACAAATCTTTTAAAAATCTCTTTATAAAAGTATAACGAGGTTTTACTGTATATTTTTCTTTTTGTATTTCTGAAACATGTACACGTGAATGTGATAGTTTGAATTACATGTCATCGGTCTAGTAGTGGAGCTCAGAACCGTATATTTACCCACATTGCCGAAATTAAAGAAAATAGTGAGCATTTTATAACACCAACTACGATATCAATGTGTTTGGGAAAGCGCTTCTCTCGAGTCGGCTCCTAAAGTTAGGGTTCACCGATGTTACACCATAAAATGGCCTCCCGAGCGAGTCAGACTGTACTAGGCACTTCCAACTATAAAACTGAAGGAGACACAAAAAATGACATATCGAACGGAATTTGGCTCAAAATGCTTCTTGCTTTAAACTCTGCACAATTTGTTAGAGATTATCGATCGTGCATTTGTCGTAAATCTATAAAAACGCGCATGGCTGTCACATAACCCCCGCCTCTCCGTTTTTGATTTTTGATTCAGCTCAAATTAATAGGTCTAAGTGGAATTTCCAACCACACATGAACCATATAAACTCCACTAGCCTCGGCAGACGAGGTGGTCTTCTACGAGGGATCGAACACCACCAACTTGATGGGTTGGGAGATATCCGGCTCTACGTCCGGCTTGTCGGCTCGAAAATTGGAATCAATGTCAGATTTTCCTTTCGCGGTATAGATTTTTGGGAAATTTAATAAAATTGTAATATAATACTCTTGCACATGAATTGATAATTTGTAGAATATTGTGTACGGGGTACCTGACTGGAATGATTGTTGGTGACTGAGATATGGTTAGGTACTTGTACATCTCGCATCTCAGAGAAATCAGAAAGCACTATGATTTGAAAACTGTTCACTTGTAAAATGTGCCAAAAAAATATTGCGAAAAACTTGTCTGCACGGATAAACTGCACACTATTATCTTCATTTCGAAAATGAAAACAAAATGACATAAATCCGGTCCGGTAAATGGTTTCTATTATTAGTGTATCCTAAATGCTTTCTTAAGGGGGCAACCCAACACTGTTTTCGTAATGAGAGTATTTACTCTAAGCAAACTAATCATTCAAAAAGCTGGGCTGACTTTAAGAATTTAAACCTATCTCGAGGAGCATCATAGAATGGAGTAGTGTCGTGTTTCGGGGATGAACGGATATGGACATAAATATTTGTCTGGTGATTAATCGGGACTGACTACTAATCGATTATCGATAACGTATTATAACACTTGACTTCTGGAAATACAGTCAGAACACGTATCGTTATAACAGAATCTTCGTGACTTCATTACCTTAAGACACTGCTGTTAATAATCTCAATCACATAAATATATTTATATTATCGTTTGAGCATAGGCGATGTCTCAATTTTTTAAATGCTTGAAACACGATTTCTACAACACCCTTTTTTTCTGGACAGATCAATAAACATTACTATTTTTGTTACAGTTTTTCTTTCTTGATGATTTTGATGACATCACCTATTTTACACTAGTCACATTAATACGGAAAACGGGGTTTGGGTTAGTCCAGATGGAAGAGGGCAGACAAGATATGGGATCAGCTTCCGTGTTACCAAAACCAAGTACATCTCTGTATTTTGAATACGTTGTTTAAAGAAAAAATGGCAAAAACAAGACTCTGTGGAATTAATCTGATAATGTACTCCCCGAAATACGCCCACAGGTGGAACATATTGAGTGTATACATCAGTCTTTCAACATCCTAAACTGTTTTAAACACTTAATCCATTTTGAAAGGTTTGTGCAGAGCGGCCTGCTGTCCAGAGTGTATGTGGTGCTAACTGTCTGGTCTGGCTTACTGTCAAGACTTGGGGATTTTCTGTATTTTTCATGATATACATCACAACCCAGTAAACATCCAAATCTTCAAAGGAGTTTTTTTAAAGAAAAAATTTCAGATACACGTAACATTCAACTTGTTCTCCGTCAAGAAATATCTACCGCTAGTCACAAAATCTACGTTTTAGTCCATTTTGCTTTTAAAAGAAAAAAAATGAGCTTAAACCCGATACCCGATTTTGACAGCCTACTAGTATTTGGGTTCTCTCAGCCAGAGAGTTTTTATAAGAAACATTAAAAACCTATAACACAACTACAAGAAACTATTCGAGATTCTATCTCCTACACATTACTGTAACCTGTCAACGGTATGCATTCACTCCCGAGTGGTCGTACCCAGTGAATTGATTTCCTTTCGAAATTAAATCATATAAATATTCAAAAGTTTCTATAGAAAAATGACTTTTCATAAACCTTGATGTTGTGTTAATATGTTACTTAGCACGAGTTTTTTTTATATTGTTGGTATTATTTTTCACCTAAACTTGGCTACCAAACCGCCTGTATACACCCGGTATCAACAGAAATGATAAAGGTTACTTTATAACACATTGCTATTTCTACCCCTATGTAGCTCAGCCGGAGTAAAGCACGTCATGCGGAAATATAAACGATGTCTTAAACCTATTTCACATCGCCCATACTGTCAACCAAATACATCAAAACTCAACCTTTTAACAACGATTATAATTTTGAACCAAAAACTTTTTTTTTCTAAAATGCTTGAAATATCACACGTATAATTATAGCCTGTCTATCCATTATATATTGTAACCAACTTAAATGTTTATTTAACGGTTGGTTAGGAAATGAAAATGTTGACATTAAATTTAAACAATTAGTACTGTTGAACGATGCTCTGATGGTTAGGTAGAGAGTCGATAGGTTTGGGATAGCACTAGGAACCCATAGACATATCTTATTCAATAATACAAACAATTTACATAATTATTTCAATTCTTCACACGTTTACTTGTAATTAAAATAATATCGCGATGTTTGATACGAAAAATGTTCCATGTTTAGATTTGTGTATTTTATAATTTGATTTCTGTAAATGACTCGAACACGTTAAATATCCCGAGTTTCACGTCCAGTGGTAAAATCAATCACAGCGTTGACAGTGGTTGTATACACGTGCGGTACCGATTTTTCTATAATTCGAACCATAAATATATGGAATCGGAAACCGAGTAAGAATTTAGTGATAAAATGTCGTGACGTACCCGATTAATATAGATAACACGTCTAGTTGTCATGACGTATTGGTTTATAGAGCAGTGAATCGAGGGACGTGCATGCATGTCATCTTGACAGGACAATCTCTGTATCTACTACAGCGCCGCAGTAACGGCACGTACGCTACACGTGTTTTATGTTGTTGTTGTGTGTGGGTCGCTCAATCTCTCTTCCTATTGTCTTATATCGTTATTTTCAACATCTTCGCTTCTTTTTCGAGCTGACAGAGATCCGAAACATACCACACAGGTAAAACTTGATTGTAACAGCATATCGCATCCCTAATGAATTTTTAATTGATAAATTACGAGAATATTTTAACAAAAAAAAGTCGATTTCAACATCAGATATGATGAAATCTAATAAACATTATCTCTACCATGCGGAGTCATTCACGTGCATCCCTCGTGCATGACATGGACAGGTGATGCATATTATTGCAGGTAAAATGAGACTTCAAAGGATCTGAGAGTCAAAACAACTTACCTTCGATCGCTGCTAAACAGTAGACCATGGTGAGAAGGAGAAAGAGTGCCAGACTCGACTCCATGCGAAGTGAGAGGGTACGAACTGTACGGTGTAACATATAAACACACGGGTGTCGTCCTTCTGTGTAGATAAATGAAGAATATTGGTGATCCTCCGTAATATCACATACTGGCAGGTGATGTCAGGACATCACACCAGCGTAGCCATCAGCTAGGCACGGGTTTGTTTATAATCCACTAGCGCTATCGAGTGCCTTTACACGTATCCCTGTAGTACTCCTGTGTAAGGTATCCTGTCTAGATCCCGACTTGACGGTATATATTTCCGATAGGAACAAGACCTAGCTCGTGTGACATGACGAGTAACTAATATAATACATTGGACTTTCCTTTCTTTTTCCTGCCATGCTTATTACATACTAACTCGCACAACACACTACTCCTCTTCAACTGTCACTTGAGCACATTACCCAGCCCAGGCCAGCAGAGAGGCGGCCATTGAATGGTTGACCTGATAAAGGGGGTGGAGTCGAAGGCGTGTCTTGTGATTTCAAGCTGATTAGGCGAGCGTGCTCAGTGGCGCCGTTCTGGCGGGGGTTCGCAGATATGTTATGGCATACTATTGAAGAGAACGCGCTGTTGATTTTACTGGGCCGTTGATAAACTGATCGCCGGCGCGATCCCTAAATATGATTAGGTCGTGTCTGTACCGTGGCGTACAGACCAGAGAACAAGCAGGATATTTTCTGAATTAAGAACATACCAGGACAATTAGGGGATAGATAACTCTAAAGGGATTTTAGGGCAACGAATATATAATTATAATCGGTATATATATATATATATGATATTAAAGGGTATTTATGCTTTATCAAAAGTAAATCTTGAAACCTTTTTTTGTAAATTTGACTACAGTAGAAACAGAACTGTTCTAACAATTAATATACGCAACTGTTTGTAATTAATTTACTTGAAAAGAAATGAAGTAAAATATAAGAAAGAAAGAAAGAAATGATATCAGGATTTAACCAGTGCAGGGATGTGTACACATCCCTGACCAGTGTTTTTGTAATTCGAATGTTTTTATTAACAAGAAGTCAAGTTATTAAAATTTTCATTGATCACTTTTTTTCGGAATTATTTTTGTCGATGATTGGTTTAACAAAAATGTCAGGCAGCATTCGCACGCTAATTATATAACTTTCCAAATTACTCACAGTATTCTATTTTTGAAGTTCTCAATCATTTCGCGTTTGGTTGTGTTTGGCCTTTGTTAATTTTTTTATCAGCTAGATCTTAAGTAGCTGACCTTGTCAAGAGATTAAGTCTCCTATATATTTTTACAACAGAGGAGACAGCGGATTTATGTCAGTAGGGAGATCGGAAAATAAATATATAATTATGAAATTATCTAAACACTCTGTTGAAAGGACGTTTGTTATAATGAAGAAACGAGCCAGTGTTTAATATGATAATGCCATTATCGGCCCAGACAACCTGGAATCCAAACTTCAATTAATTTATGTAATTACGGGACTGTATTTTTACTAATAAAGGTGATAGCCATCGTTTGTCGAGGTTGTCTATTGTGTGACGTCACAGGTGTAACGTTGATCCTATTAGCTATTGGTGAACGACGATTAAAGTCAAGTTGAAATACAAATGTCCATTTAGATAAAAGTAAAATTTCATAAAGGAATAATCAGTAGATCTGGTAAATTTTATTAGGTAAGGAGGTAAAACATTCTGGTATGACTTATCTCCCTTCCCCTCAAGCTCTTTCAGATTTAAAAACCACGTATCACCCTCTTTCCCGATTGGGACCCTGGAGATTGGACCCCCC